TCCCCCCTATCCCCTACCCCCCCCCCCCCTTTTTTTTTTTTTTTTTGTGCTAGGCTCAGGTGTGGCGGTCGCTGAGTAGATTCGCACCGCACGGAGGCGTGTTTCAGCCCAGTGGCGGTTTAGGAAAGACGGACGCATGTATATATACGCATAATCAAAACAACCAGTGATGATCTCGGTGCTTTCCCTTTTTGCGTTTTCGTGCGGTTAATGGCTGGCTATGACATCGGAGTATGTCTTGACGTTGTTCCCGAACCGGGTCACAGGCTGCCATGGTTTCTTGTCAATCTGATATCCGAGAATCCTGAAACCCTGTCTCGAGGAGCTTACAGTGCCTGCATAAGCAGGTGGTCATCCATGTACCCATTCATTACAGAGTTTCTGGTGTCGGGTTCGGTTTTTTTTTTCGGCCTTAATGCGATCCATGAGGATGGATGGGAGGAGGCCCTGGCCTGCGAGCTGGGGCCCCTTAACCTTGGAGAACGAACTGCGCTATCCAACTTGATAGGGCTGAGGTTTATCCTCCGTGATCAGCCTATAAGCAGCCAAGTTATATTCCAGGTGGCTCGTGATTGCGAGAAACATGAATTGAGTCTGTCTCCATGTCTACGAGTGCTCAGGCGCGCCGTCCCGTTTGAGTAGAAAGGCCCGACGTCAAGGCCCTCACACCACGTTTCCCGCAGGGCATCTCGGAAGACGAGCTTGCCGCCGGGCGCAGGCGAGACTGCGTCTCAACAGCCTCGCGGCAGCGCCGTTCTCTGACACCGTCTTTTGAATGTTTTATGATGCACGCTGATCTGTCCAAGGATCAGACAAGTCCCTGCCTCCCTACATACCTTACTCTTGGTTCCGTGCATCCTTGCGGCAGGTGTCAGTAATAAAGGCTCCGCTTATTCTGCGATACCAGACCCAATGGACACGCTTTTGGCAACAAGATCAGGTGCTAGATCTTCTACGCGCATTAGGTCGCAATAGGGCTGTGATAAGTGTAATGTACGCGTGCCTCATTATAATTCTAGAAACTCTACGGAGTACTACTCTTACTAGTATTACATTAATTCTTCAGCGAAAATCATCATCTTTTAATTTAAAATGTTTGATTAAATGTGCACTTCCAAAGGGATGCACACCCTCCATCAAACACCCATGTTTAGTTCCAACCACTGTCTCATCCCAACAACCATCTACCGAGTTCACAAAATCGGCGCACATATCACACCTCGCCAACCCGAAACACGACTTTTGGCCAATGTTGTCGAATGTCAAATGTGCCCACACAGGCGAGTGGGGTTTCCCCAACTCTTCACGATTGACATGTGCGAGCACGACAGACGGAGCAGCATTTTACTTCCGGTGACAGAGTAAATAACAGAGTGGTTGCTGCGCGGCGAAGCCGAGGCAAAGAGGGACCGTGTACGGAGTAGGCATCTTTGGATTGTGTCCATGATTTTTGCTGTCAAAGGGGGGAGGGCGTTGCACAAGACGAACCCACGCCAGTAAAGCCGTGACTTTGGAACTTGCCACTAGCTGGACTCATACACCCGTAGGTAAGGAATTCAATGGATAAAAAAGGTTCGACACCAAGTTCCCTCTGTCAAATTGTGCCAGGAGCGGCCATGTCCTCACCATGGCCTAACGCCACCATGCGCGATGCCACGCGATCCACGCGGTACCACTCGATTCACTCGATTCAGGCGACTTTGTGGGCAAATTCAACATATTATCCCTCCCCCTAATACATACACGCTTGAACGAGAGCGTACAACGCGGGTAGGTATACACGGTGTCCAGAAGAGCAGACTCCGGGGAGACACGAGCTTTCAAAATCTGCCAGTACCCCGAATACGTATTGTGGATGCGACGCCCACCCACACCTCACATGTGCTCAAGACATGGCTGACGACCCGCCTCGGCCGGCAAAAGTGGCGTGTGGGGAAACCGCAGATTGCCTACAGCACATGTTACGTGTACGTACTCCGTGAAAACCAGGGCCTGATTGCTTGGTTTTCTTCATTGCAGCCATGGGCCATGGGATTGGGGCTGGCGGGCTGGCGGGCTCCATGGATGCACAAGCCGGATCTCCCGTCACCGAACGCCAGGTTTCTAGATCGGCAAACCTCCAGCGTCGGCTGCGCGGCGTCGGAGCTGCCACCCCCAACCCAGGTATCCTCCACCTGCATCTTCGACCATCGGCCAAGGGTTCAAGGCGAAAAATGAGGCGTCATGCCCCCTTCCGGCTTTACAGTTTGCCGTTGCCGCCGTTGAGACACGACATGGAACCAAAAGGATGAGAAGAAAGCTTCGCCTCCTTGCAGATTATAATGATCTACGGCCAAGCAGCCCAGTGCCCGTGTAGCAAGCAATTCATGCGTGGAAACTTCTCAAACAAGGTTTATTTTGAAATAACTCGCTACTACGTAACTAACAGGTCCGTCCGACAGGCCGGCTACTCAGCCACCACGCAATGCCCTGAATAGACGGCTGTCATGTCACCGTGTCGTAGAGCATCCAGACATCCATCCATTCACAATCCCGAGTTCACCATGAGCACGAGCTTGCCAACGTCGACAAATGCAATCTTTTACAGACTTGCTGCCGAGGCTCTGGCTCCATTGCCCTCCACGCTGTTGCCAATCCTTTCAATGTTAGCTCCGGGACCCTCCCCCCCCCCACCCTTCTTCCTTCTTGGCAGTCCGATCCGGCCCCGACGTGCATGACGAGCCATTTGTTTTCGTGGGCAGCATCGCGCCTGCACTTGATCCGCTCATGGGGAAATAGGCCGTAGCCTTGCGGACCTGCATTTGCTCCAAACGAGGCTCCCAACCCCAACCATGCAGGACCGGACCTCGTTGCTCAATTGATGTTCCGCCCCCCCGTGCGCCACCGCCGGCCGCCACCCCCAGCCTGTACATCAATGATGCTGCCTGCCACGTCCCCGGCTTGAGAAATATGATGCCATTGCTGACATCCCAACGTCCCTACGTCCCACTATGACCGTCAAACAACCTTTAGCATCGCAGTCATGGCCTCTTTTTTTTTTTCTTTTGGCTTTCTTTCTTCTTTTCGAGTATCAAGTTGAACGTGTCATTAGGCTTTACAAATGTACCCTACATAGACAGGCATAGAGACAGAGATGCACCACCTCGTAAATTTAGTCGTGAAACTAGGTCTATTGTAGCTAGCTGCATGTAAGAAGCCGTCGTCATCTCCTCCGTCAACGCTACTTGCTCCGAAACTCTATTGAGACCAGCTGACCACGTCCTACGCTGCGCTGCCCTATGCCTATTGCACTTGGCGCTTATGACTTACTTGCTATGCGCAAAGATAGGCAGACACACACACGCGCGCGCCCTGGGAGAGAGAAAGAGAAAGGAGAGAGAGACAGAGGCCCACGACAAAAGTCAGTGATATACGACATCCCCTGCAGTTGTCCTCTTTTGCTGCATGGATGGCATCAGACACGGACCCTACTGCCAAGGAACGGCCTGTATGGACCCCAAAGGGTCTGCTAGTGCACATGAGAGCAGCTTAACAGCTGCCGTCCGTTGGCACACTCTTTTTCTGGTCATCTGTTGTGGGTTGTTGTGGAGTGCAAATTCGCCTAGAACCAGGTCAATTGTGATCGTGATCCTCATCTCTAGCCTTCAAACAAGTTGGACACGCCTTCCAGGGCATCCGGTGTTGTTCGTCGAGCACCCATCACGCCATTTGCTCGTGTTACACCGCCATCAGCTTCATTTGAAGTATTCATGAATCCCTGTGCCATCTTGCTCCTGTTGCTTCTTTTGGCGCGTGACGAACCACCAAAGCCAGCGGTTTTGGCGAGTTTCCCCATTTCAGATACACTCACTCCCTTAAGGTCCTTCAAAAGCTCCAGAACAATCGCGCGTTGTTGGCGAGGATGAGACCCCGGCTTGGCCATGTACGGTGCAAGTCGATCAAGCTCAGCCGGGTTCACATTTGGTAGAGATAAAAGAATGTCCTTCGGTGTTGATGTAATGGGGCTGTAGTAGACCACAATAGTTGCAATTAGGGAGGCGAGCTCTTTCTGCACCTCCACAAAGTAAGGTTCGTGGAACGATGTCAAACAAGCCTTCAGCACGTCTTGCGCGATATATTCCCTGATCACCGAGGCGATTTCGGCGGGCACCGGCGTGGTGTCCGTATGGGAGCTCGCCTTGCCATCGTGAACATTCCCGGTCGACCCGTATTGTCCTTGGCCCTGAACTAACTGGAACTCGGGAACCAGAGAGATGAACAGGCGAAGAACCATTCCACAGCATCGTGTGTCCCTCATCCGGATGCCGTGAGTGCAGAATACCAGCAGCGGCTCAACAATTTCCCGTCGCATGAGACAAAATTTCCGGAGTGACGGATAAGGCGTTGATGGCTCATCTTCGGATCCTTCCTTTCGGCTTCGGGACTTCAGAGTGTGTGAATCTAACACTTCATGTTAGCGACCGTTTTCCACGGCAAATGTACATAGTATCAATCATCTCCCACATACTTGATTTTGTGGGATCCAGGAAATCCGCCACCATCATGACGGCTGTATACGTAACCTGCCGGAGAATGCTCTCGGCCTTCATTTCTTCCTTAAGTCCTGCCTCGCCGTCTACCACGCATGTTTGCTGCTTTTCCATTCTCTCCCACTCGCCGTTAACTTTGGCATCCATCTGTCTGAAGCAAGCTGCTAAGAGCTGGGGAAGAAATTGTTCCCGGTAGTCCACCGGGCAGTCGTCAACTAGGTACCGCACCAAGTTCAGCAAGTTGCTCTGTTGGTGTGTAGATAGCCATATGGAATCTGAAAACAAGGCTTCTGATAGAGGGCCAGAGAGGCCGCTGAAGCCGTAAAACTGCAGGTCGAGTCTGCTCATACAATAGATTATAGCGTACGCCGTTTCCCTGACAAAACGTACCGAGCCCCGGATAGTCGAGGCAAGGCCTTCGATTGTATTTTTCTTGTCCATAACCCTCGCGTAAAAGTCATCTTTGCTGCCTTCAGATATTCCGGCTTGCCAAAATCTGTCGCTGAGAACGCGCTCTACCATGCCTCGCATTTCTGTAGGCAACTCTACCCAACTATCAGGATTGTGCGTGGCATGTGCAAATCTATACATTTGTCAGTATATCCGATAGCCGCCCAGACAATTTAAAATGATTGACATGGACACACTTCAAATATTCAAGTAAATCAGCAAGAATGTTGGAGAAACCCTGTTGCCAAAGAGCGTACGACGCCTGAAAAGCTGGAGAGGACTTATCCAAGCGTTCTACGGAAAAGGCAAGGAATGATTTGGTAGGCCGTAGAGGAAGAGTCTTGAACGTCAAAGTTAGCATGGACATACGAGCGTACTTTACCCGACATGAGCCGTACCTTTAACCGCTCTTCAAGTTCATTTTGTAGCAATAAACCCTCTGAATCCAGTTCGCAAGAACCCCAATCCTCAAGTTCATGTGCGCGCCTGCTCGCCAGATATTTCTGGGCCTTGTCAAGGCCGAGGTAGTGGCAGAAGTCTGCATAAGATTTCAGCGATGTTCGAATCGGTTCACTCTGCCACTGAGCTTTGACAGGATCAACGAATTCAGCCAGCTTTTGAATTTTCATCTGTGTGTCGATTCCACTAGCTCGATGGCTAAAATGGACTGTCAGCTAATACATACCGAACCAACTTATGCTAAATTTGAATCCTTACATGGTGAGGAAGAGAAAACTTCTGTACGCAAGGGATCGCTTTTCATCCAGTGCCCCTGAAGTCATCATCACATTCACTCGGCTCTCAATCTGGTCATAAACACCCTTTCCCGCCAATTAGCCACGAGATTTAGCTACAATTGCAACATGAACTTGTCTTACCAAAAGATGATCAGGCATCTCAGCCGCAAGACGCTGCAGCTCAATCATACTCTCACTTTGCAGGTCCTTGATGGCATCATTATATGCACGATATTCAGGTTCGAGTGCGGGCCATGTAAGGAGAATATGCTCGAGAACCTTCAACATGAATCCGGCGTTTTTGTTGAGCGCAGTAGTTGAGAAGAAAACAAGAAGTTGCAACGCCCGCTTGCGAATTATTGGGTCCTTTTTAAATGAGACAGTTAGCATCTCGGCAAAGTTCGGATGTGTTCATTTGGCGTTCTCGAGTGATCTCACCTCAAAGCTCATTTCAAGCAACTTATTACACCACATTTCTAGGTTAGACTCCATTTCAGCCACTTGCTGCTCCTGAGAATGCATGTATTAGCCCAATCAATTTTTTTTATTTTTTTTTGGTCGCGGTGGGGATGATTATTCCGTGTCGTAAAAAACCTACGTGGTCTCGCCCATGGTATCTCCTCCATTTCACATAACCTTTCAACGTAGCCTCAATGACAGTAAAAAGAGAATCGACTTGCAAGGCGGGCGTTGAATGCTTGGTATATGTTTGTTCTGAAACAGTTAGTAATGTAACTTCCAAGACCACTTCAGTGGTTTTGACAATTGGCCCTTACTGCTAAACGGAGGCTGTCCATCGTAGAGGTTCTGCAGAATATGCTCGGTACGGCCTAATATGTAGGACACTGCGTCGACAAGTTTCAATTGAACAATTTGCTCGATAATCTGGGAGCTATACCGACGATAGTTTCCCAAGAACGCGTGTCGCTCAGGGATAGTATCCGTGTCATCTAGTAGGAAAAGGTATGTAGGATCGGTAGAGTTTTCTGGGAGATTTTCATAGCGCACCAATCTGGAAGTGCAAACGTCCAGTAGGGGACCGACGTTTTCAGACACTAGGTTGCTGGGGCCAAGATTTCTATGACCAAGGATTCTGGTCCATGTTACCAGTATTGGTATCGAGACCATCAAACTCGGACTCTGCGTTACTTGAATCAAGAGTCCAAAAAATCCAGAGCTGGCGGCTTCTGGAGGTACCTGTGCAAACTTGCGTTCAAAGTAGTCCCCAAGATAGGACAGCATCTTTGAAGGCGTGTTAGTGAGAGAGGAAAAAACGCATCATCGAGGTATTTTCTCGCAATCTAATTCATACCTCTGACAGCTTCTTAAGAATCTGATATTTATCTTCATCAATATCCTCGGGGTCCACAGTGGCCCAGCTATACAAACCCTTGCAAAGATCAACTGAGCTGGGACTGTACATTGGTGCTACAAGGTCGCGGAATTCATTATCGGAGAAGTTGGACCGATAGTATAGAGCATTAAGCGCTTCTAAAGAGGCCTGAACGAAGAGTTTAGTGACAATAGCTAGTAAACATGGGAGAAGTTGGGTTCTACCTTTTGAACATCAGTGTGTGAGGATGCCAAACCAGCAGTCATGACGTTCACACATTGTGCAGCTGCTATGGCCTTGGGGATAGCCCATGGCATAAGGGACACAAAGACGGAGAGGGCCTTGACTGCACAGCTTTTGGCATCAGCGGTATCCTTGGCTTCGGAACTGACGCAATAGTTGAGGAATTGAGAAATACGCTCAAGCCATCCTTCGGGTCCATGGCGCACATCCGGGCCGGGCTGACGACTCGGAAAAGCCTCAACCAGCACTGACGTTGGTGTGAATATCTCGACGCATGCCTTACTAAGAACACCTTCCCTCATAGTCACGACTGAGTCATCCCCAGTGAAGACTTCATCGGACAAGGTCTCAAGAATAAACAGTACTAGTTCCTTATGAACGGCCGAGTCCTGGATCTGCCAGAGTTGGACAAGTAAAGAATCCATGTCCATCCATTCGCTCCCCCAGCACCGCTTTGCGATTTCAACCCACAACTGTGCCGTCTTTTTCCTGAGGTAAGACGCATCTTCTTTGGAGACGGACTGGCTCAACTCCAGTATCCAATGTCGCAAAGCTGTAGCTTGCTCCTGGTTGTAGGTAGACCATCGGTAACGTATGGCATGTTCGAGAAGCGAGAGGGCGTAGTGTCGAACGACTGGTGGCTGAGTCTTATCAGCAGCTAATTGATATCCTTGAAAGGGTGCTTCAGGTATGTCTTTGACTTCTTCGAGAAACGACTGAGCTTGCCGGCGGGCTTCATTGCCTGAAGAAGCGCTGTGCACGACATCCAGAGCTTGATGAATTCGTCTCAATATCTCAGTGTCCTCGCCATTGCTCGGGTTGCCGCTGCTAGCAGACATAATTTTTGCAGGCAATGGCGAGCGCTAAGACGTCGACGGGATTCGACCTCGAGGCAGCCTTGCTTATACTCACGAGGCGTTCTTCAAGTCTTGGTCGAGTCTAAAACGGGAGAGGAGCGCAAAGTTCGACAAGAATTGTGTCCGTAGTCGTCGTATCGCGAAATCGGCAACGCAAAAGCGAAATTATACTGTCTTTTCTCTGTCGTTCGTGGCGCCTGGCGTCCGTGGTGTGAAATTTATTTGTGCACGATATCGAAATCGGCGGGAGGATGCAAAAGCACGTTCGGGTAAGCAGGGCAAAGGCGATACCGGCTGCGCGTGACGAGGGAGGGGAAACGTCAAACAGAACGCAGGAAAGATGAGAAGAGCGACGTTTGCAAGCACAGTGGTCCTTTAAATGGGTTAAGATTGACGCGGGTGGCCGGAAAGCATGAACGCAGGCGGCGAAACTGAACTAGATGATTCAATATTTGTTGGTGTCGGTGTCGGCGAGCGGTGTTCAGCAGTCTGGCAGTTACGCGGTGAGTGACAGGCTGAGAGGGCCCAAGTGCAGGGCGCCTTGATGTTGAGTGGGGACCAGACAGCAGCTGGTACCAGACCGAACACTAGTTAATAGCTGAACTTGAACTTGGCATTGAACTAAGTTGACATTGAACATGCATTGACCAGACCAGCCCCAGGTGCCCACACTCTAGATGTCTCCTTGAACATCGATCTGGAAGCTCAGTTGCCCAAGCGTGAACATGGTGCGCATGGGTTGGACAGCAAATTCCGCCGGAAAAATTGGTGTCTTCCAGATCAACGAGATTTTAGCCCATACAAAGGTGGTACTGGTCGTCTAGATACTTACCTGGGTAGGTAGGTACCTTGACAAACCAGAAATGCGGGGAGAAATTGTTCAATCAAATAAATTACCGTCTTGAACTACATCCATTTGGGCCTGGCCGGTCCATGACACCTCGACATTCCACGAATAGCAAACTTTGCGCCTTGCAATACTTTCATGGCACTGCAGCAGCCTCGTTATAGGTTGCACGTCCATAGACACAGTAGCCTATCATAGAAACTTGTCGAGAGGCATGTCAAGCTACGCTCGTCAGGGTTATATACACAGTCGGATGCGTAGTTCATGCTCTGGTGCTCTACAAACTTTGCAAGTACTGCGCTCCGCCAGCAATCGCCATCATCAGTCACGATTTCCACTATTCTAGCCCCGGCATGCATGCAGGACGCCAGAAGGAGGATGTGGACAGAGCCCTTTCCACAAGAATCAACGTCTGACTTCAAGTCGATCAAATCCAACCGCCATACACCACCGCCGAGGTCAATATCTGTCAACAACTGCACCATCTTAGCCCCATGGCTTTCATGCGGATCATTTATAGCAAAGACTCGAAGCATATCATCATAGCTCCCCGTAACAACAACCCTCCAGCCAGCTGATGTCCAGGTTGAGAGGGGTAGAATCGCAGTCACGCCGGCATTGTGTGCCCCCTTTATGCCTATCGAGGCGGAAATAGTCTCCATTTTTGCATCCTTGTCGCGGGGGACCAGAGACCACGATGTGTATCTCAGTATTGAGTCGTCGCCCCCACAATAGACAGTTGTCGGCTGGCCCATTTCACCTCTACTATTGTCTGGATTGGAGAGGCAAACTGACCAGGCTTCCAAGGTGTTTTGAATGTCCAAGTCTGTCCAGCCCTGGATGGACCAGGAGTTGTCAAGGTGCAGCAACCGCGCAAGACCGGTCGAAGTAGTCACCGCAATCATGTTTTCAACGGAAGGATGCCAGTTGCACTGCAAAAACAAAATATCCTCTCCCAGATCGGCACATCGACTCGTTGCCACATGCTCCAGCGCTGGGCCATCACTTGTTTTGAGGCGATAAATAGCCAGCGTGCCCGTGCTCGACACAACGGCAAAGACGCTCTGGGGCGCTCTACGGGTTGGGTGGAAGCGAAGATCTAAGATTGCGGAAGGTTGTGGCTCCGTTTGAAGCTTGACCCTGGTTGCGTGGTTAGGGTCTCATGTCGGTAAAGAGTAGATAGAGTATGTACTACTAGGCAAAGGCCGGCATTGAAGACTTACAAGTCGCTCCCGGCCAAGTTGAAAAGCACTAAGCTACCATTTCGACTCTGGGGTCTCTCGGATGTGCTTTCCTCCGGCAGATCTTGTTGCTGCTCTGTTGGATCCTGGTTCTGTAAATTATAGGTCCCAACCACGAAACAAGACCGGTCGACTGGGCAAAATTGCAAACAGCTCGGCGGTAATCCAAGCAGCACACTCTTCGTAGATGATATCACCCTTAAGTTGTCCATGGCTGGCAGCTTTTGGAAGTAGCCGTTCAAACAAGTGTTGTGCCCTTCACAGTCAAATTCAATGCCTGATAGGTTGACAGACCCTTTGATGGTTGAGCAAGTCAAAATCATCTCGGCAGTTCAACGGGCGCGGCTGGTGGGGCAGACCCATCTGAACCTCATCGTTTGTGGCTCCTCTCGTTGCTCACACCATGGATCGGACCGCACATGCATTAGCCAAGAGAAAGGCCCCCTGCCGCCTTGCAAAATGACCAAAATCAGCCGCTGGTCTCCAAAACTACAGAGTACCAACGTAGTTGTTAAGTTTAGACTCTCCAGATGTCGCGACCAATTCGAAGTGTAACCACATGTGCCGAGCCCCGTCCAAACGCCCAGTCCCCTTTTAAAGTGAGGTTACGAAGTATACAGCGAGCCGTTGATACACAACTGCTGGTGTATGTGGATTTTTTTTCTTTCTCTTTCATTTGAGAAATTCCCCTCAGCTTGGCAACGTTCGTTGATAGGTAAGGGCTGGCGTGAAGCCTCAAACCACTACAGCACTTGTACAAATCCGTTTGTCTGTGAACATCCCCTACTGCCACATAACCGGCACCTCGCGGGAATGGATTCTGACGACTCAGAATTCTATGGTATAAGCTTCCCGAAATAATGCCGCATTGGTGACTAGTTAATAAATGGACTTCTAGGGAGCCCAGAGGAGAGGCGGCAGCTGCAAGCCCGCGTTGACAGATTCGACGCCCACGCCTGGGCCGAGCAACACAGCGTCTGGGGATGCGGTTCTCCTTGCAGAAGCCCAGCGGTCGCGGCCAAATCTACAAAGCTACACAACCCTTACGCTGGAATTAGCTACGCGTGGCAGCTCTCTGAAACACTGGATGATTTCTTGTCGAGGCTGCCTCCTGAAACTACTGACGGGAGTGAGGATTTGCCCTGGATTTTCATATGCAATCCATACGTTTCGCGGACGGGGAAGCAGGAAGAAGACGGCGTCAACATGAAGGGGAACGAATGCGAAGCTCCGACGGAGAAGGACAGCCACGTCGGCCTCGTGGTTGAGGGTGGAATGGAGAGATTGGAGCTTCTGGCAAATTTCAGGCAAAAGTTGGAGCAGTCGGGCAGATCAGCCACATTTTTGAAGCAAGAGTTGTTGCAAGAACAGAATCAGGCCGTGGTCGATATTCTCCGTCTAGCCCAAGCCGGCAAGGTTCGAAGCGGCAAGGTATGTACGCCATTGTCACAGAGAGAAGGTGACTCATCCAAGCTTCTCTACCCTGTGCTAACACTATCGTACTCGGTTAATTCCTCCAGTGGATGCTCTTTTGCTCGCCTTCCGAGGTCAACGAAATTTGGGGCTTGGTTGCCAAAGCTACAGCACGAAATGAGCTCGGTATAGCGGCCAAGGTAAACCCTAGGTCACAATTCGATGATGTTCGCAAAGACAGGGTTATCTGCATATATACGGCCGATTTCCAAGACAAATCCGACGTCGGCCGTGTCTTGCAACAGCTGAAGAAGCTCAAGCTTGTTGGGCCAGGACTACCAACCATGTACTACAAGCCCGGTGAGTCAACATGGCGGGGTAACTGCAGGACAGAGCCACCACCGCATCATTCTAACGACGAGTCAGATATCTTTACCTACATTGGTCTTTCACATGGAAACCCCTGGGGCCTCGCTGCTTCGATATACAGCTCAAAATCGTTTCAGTAAATGGAATCTCGGTTTGCCTGGCTCAACCAAAAATCTCAAGTGCCTGGGGAATAATATAAGTTTACAGCACCCACAAGCGGTGGGTAAAAGATGAGGGTAGAACTAGGTTTGCTAGGTTTCACGACATCTAGACTTTTGAATATGACGGACAGTTTGTTCAGCTGGACTGTAAGAATGATAATTTTGTTTCCATTGTATGCTGAGTCAACGCCATAAACGCCATATACTCCATTTGATGCTAATGTCGCCTTTGCTTCTACCAAGTCAACAAGTATAATGATGCAGTCATGCGCCGGCTTCTTTCATGTATGTTCGAGAACCCCAAATGCCATTCGAATCCCCAGAGGTATGTATCAAGACACTTCCCCAGTGAGATAGTCCTGGGCGATGTCGAAGTCAACGCTCCTTAGCGGGAGAACGAGTCGATAGGCGCTATTGCCATTCAGGTAGTAACGATGCAACTTTTTGGACCGCAAGAACCCCAGCCGTTCGTAGAGTCTCATGGCCGGCGTATTTGATTCTTCAGTCTCCAGTACAATCTCATCGGCATTGCGTTTGGTCATGGCGTCGATGGCTTGTTGCACGAGGGCTGTTGCGATGCCATGGCCGCGAAAGGACGACTCGACTGCCAGCATAGCAATATACCCGCGCCGAGTCGGTGGAGAGTGAGACGAGTGAACTTCTAGTTTACAAATGATGACACCGACAAGGGATGAGTCGGATGGATTTATGGCCTGAAGTCAACCGAAATTAGCGGACTGAGCGTGTTGCCAGACAACGGACATGCTGAACTTGGGTGCCAAGGCTCCATACTACTGACCATGAAGCAGAGATGGGCCCATTGACAAAGAAAGTATCTGTAGACATAGATGCTGTAAGGCTCGCTCAGGTCTTTAGAGATGAGTGACCGTATGGCTGGCAAATATTCAGACTCAAGACTGTGCTGATACTGGATGAAGCGCAAGTGCGAGGACGATTCCTCTTTTCGTGGGAGCGCCATGATGGAACGAACTTCTGCCGCCAAGTCTTGAAGTACGGGCTAAAACAGGCCTGGTTGCCTCCAGATGTATATGTATAGCGTTCCGCGGCAAGTGACGAGAGTATGCCCGGCCGGTTAACGCTATTTAGGGCAGACTATTGGGCTGGCTGTCAGGACGAGTTGCAAGCAGTCTCCGATGTTGCCTCCGACTGTGCCTCCAAGTTCCAACTGGATCACACTGGTTACCAACAACCCAAAAGCCAGTCAGGATGGGCTCTTACATTGGGCGTTGGGCCTCCAACAGCTTCCAAGGCCCGGTCCGGTAAGGCTGACACGGAGGTCAAGTGTCTGGACGGCGTGACGAAGACAGACTCCAGTTAGTGACGGGTTAGGCAACAGTCCATGTCAGCTCTTGAGCATAGATGGATTGCATGGATCGAGCGGGCCGGTGCGGCTCTTGAGCGGCGTGTCCAAAAGGTCGACTGGTACTCCGTAGTCTGGTGGCACCGCCGTGGCATGGCGGGGCTTTTCAATGTTGACAATCACATGTGAATCCCCTAGTCAGCGGGGTGCTAGCAGCCTGGTACTTGACCAGTTGACATTGATGTATTGACGCGACGGCCTGAGCTGGCAACGTGCGGTACAGAGTCTGGTGCTTTGTGCCAACAGAAGGACAGTGACTGCACGTGCCTTTTTGTTTGCGGAAAATAAGAAAGTTCCCAGTAAAGAATGGGGAGGGCATAAATAGCTACATGCCCTGGTTACTAATGCAGTATTCTCCCCCTTTTTACATCTGCCCTTTTATTTTTATCTGATTTGATTTTCTGGGCGTGGTCTTACCTATGTCAACGGCTTACCCCGAATTCTGGTCGTCCGGGGTCCCTGACACGGCCCTTGTCCTCCTCTAATTTGTCTGCCAGGCTAACCTGAGACAAAATACTACGCATAATAGTCAGTGCCGACTCGATCCTTCCCGTACAGTTCGCTCTCGCCTCTGTTTACTCTTCTGCTCAACACCACTTGAGCAGCATACCTCAAGACATGAAGATTACCCAATTGCCGACAAAACTTTAACCGCTGCCGGTGCAACACAGAAGTGTCATCAGCGCAATTCCCTCACTACTCCCTGGCTAGTCTGCTCGCGACTAAGCCTTACTGTTCCTTTGCTTTCACCGCCGAATCAACTTGGCGCTGCCAGCATCAGACAGGAGTCTGGGATCTTAGATTCAACGGCCAAGGAAAAAAAAAAGACACCGGACACCACACGGAGAACGGATCTTGCCGTATTGTGCCACATGGCCACCGCGCTGCGTCGCCGCGCACCACGCGAGACACAACCAGTCGATGACGGTTCGCCGACCCGCGAAGATAGTCCAGCCATCGAGCCGACGGCGCATATCCATGTGGTGGAAAAGGCACCTAGGGCGACCCGAAAGAGGCGGAGTACCTTTATATTCTTACTGGGCGGAATATGCGGCTTGCTAGCTGCAGGCTTTTTTGCCAAAACCAATGATCTTATAGACTTCCCTGAACTCGGCGAGCTGAGCATGGACAGCTTCTTCGATGTCCTTCCGGCTGGCCTAATTAAGGATATGCGCGACCTGGTGCAAGGAGAGCGAGAAGTCACGGATGCGTACGACTCTTTTTCGGTCGGCCTCAAGGCACGATCCGAAGGCCTACACGCTCACCACCCTATGATCATGGTTCCAGGAGTCATTTCAACCGGCTTGGAATCCTGGGGGACTGCCAACACATCACGTCAATACTTCAGGAAGCGCTTGTGGGGCAGTTGGACAATGATGAGAGCCCTCGTGCTCGACAAGGAGTTGTGGAAGAAGCATATCATGCTCGATAAGAAAACTGGGCTCGATCCGCCGGGCGTGAAATTACGCGCCGCGCAGGGCTTCGATGCCACAGACTTCTTCATTACGGGATACTGGATCTGGAACAAAATCTTCGAAAATTTGGCCACCCTTGGTTATGACCCGACAAACTCTTTCACAGCTGCCTATGATTGGCGATTGTCCTACCAGAATCTTGAGGTAAGAGACCGGTACTTTTCCCGTCTGAAGTCACACATTGAGTCTGCTGTGGAATATGACGGGGAGAAGGTGGTCCTAGCCTCTCACAGTATGGGCAGCCAGGTCGTTTACTACTTCTTTCACTGGGTTCAGTCTGAGAAAGGTGGTCGTGGAGGAGAAGACTGGGTGGATCGTCATATCGGGTCTTGGATCAATATTAGCGGATGCATGCTTGGTGCAGTGAAAGACCTTACCGCGGTATTATCTGGTGAAATGAGGGACACCGCACAATTGAACGCCTTTGCCATATATGGCCTGGAAAAGTTTTTGAGTAAAGAAGAGCGGGCGGAGATTTTTCGCGCCATGCCCGGTATCTCTTCCATGCTCCCGCTCGGCGGCAACGCGGTTTGGGGTGATTTGGACTGGGCACCAGACGACCGACCGAACCAGAATTTTTCGTATGGTTCTGTTCTCAATTTCAAGGTCGGAGCCAATTGGACTGCTCCGGGCAAAAACATGACTGTTGAGGGCTCTATGAAATATCTCTTCGAAACTACAGAGGACTGGTATCAGAAACATGTCAAAAACAGCTACTCTCACGGCGTTGCGCACACCGCAGCTGAAGTGGAAGCTAATGAGAAGGACCCGGATAAATGGATCAATCCACTTGAGACTCGTCTGCCTAACGCCCCCAATTTAAAGATATATTGCTTCTATGGCGTAGGCAAGCCAACCGAACGCGCATACTACTATCGAGCCCCAGACCAACCAGCAAGCACAAGGCTCAAAATTATAATTGACACGGCGCTCACTGAAGGTGAAGTTGATCATGGTGTGGTAATGGGCGAAGGTGATGGCACAGTGAATCTTCTTAGCACAGGATACATGTGTAATCGTGGGTGGCATATGAAAAGGTATAACCCTGGCAATTCGAGGATCACGGTGGTAGAAATGCCTCACGAACCGGAGCGATTCAATCCCAGAGGCGGCCCGAAAACTGCTGATCACGTAGACATTCTGGGCCGCCAAAACCTAAACGAAATGATACTTAGGATCGCGGCGGGCAAAGGTGATACGATCACTGATTATGTTGTTAGCAACATCAGCGAATATGCGGACAAGGTCAAGATCTATGAGGAGGGCGAGCAAAAGGCCACAGCGAAATCATAGTATATGTTTCGCATTTTGTATTGCGAAGTAGAAGGTTGGCTTGCTTGCTCTATGTAGAAGTTGATGGGCTGGCGTCATGGTTGGTTGCTAATTTCGTTCCCGAAAAGGTCGGAATGCTGGGCATGTTCCCTCAGTCGTGATGCAAAGAATCATCCTAGACCAAGGCCTACCAAACATGTTTATTCGTAGGATACTTGACCTGGAGGGGTTACAGGCCACGTTCATGACCTGCAATATAAAGTATCGCACTGTCCGCCTGCCCACCACACTTGGGTACCTACATATGTAGGTAGTTTGACATGTCTGGAATGGGTGCATGTGACGGCTACGCAGAAATAAAGTCAAGTGTTGCGCAAATGTGGCTTGCTGTGCCCAGCTATGGATGGCTTACCCCACCACCAATGGTCTCCAAAAGCGTGGCCATCTCTGCCAAAACCACCCTCCTTTCCACCACAACCTTGAGACTCCAACCCCCTTGGATGAAGATAACAGGGTGGCAGGGAGACGACTTGTTTGATTAAAGGACATTGCTGCCGTGTACCGGCTAGGAGAGGCCCGATGCTGCCGGTGTCCCTCTTTCACCCGACATCCAGTCATGGAGGACAGTGACAAAGTCGTCACTGCAGTCGGCTCCGAAGATGAGCATCGACTTTGGAAGGGTAAGGCATACCTGGGGCGCATCGTGTATACATTCGAGAACCTATCCATTTCGCTGCAGCTTACATATGTTGTCCAGAGATGAGCGAATGCCTTGCCGCCGATTGCACGAGCCGCGAGTCCATCGACGACACCCTTCGAGAGTGGCTGGAAATCACTGCCCGGTTGCGACATTGCACCGCGGATTCGCACGACGATTTCTTAGCATGCGCTCATACGTTACTAGAGAGCGATGTCTTCAGAAATAATAAGAACTACGTACGGACTCAGATTATTCACAGTCTACTGCAGGAAGACGAGGCCGCGCCACTGCATGCCATCACCAGCTTCCTGTTTCTTGACGGCTGCAGCAATGAGACGACGTTCCCGCGGATGATTGAGGAATCATGCTTTCCCCGGCTTTTAGAACTCATAACTGCACAGAAAGATGACGCGGATCCTCGGTTGCACCGCCTCCTGCTCCAGCTAATGTACGAAATGTCACGAGTGGAGCGGCTCAAGGTCGAAGATTTGACACTGGTTGATGATTCTTTCGTCCATTACCTTTTCCAACTGATTGAAGGTGTCTCCGATGATGTACAGGATCCTTACCACTACCCTACCATTCGAGTTCTGGTGAGCAAGCAAACTGTACTGATTAAGTATCAACGCGTCGTCTGGACTGACCTGGCCTAGCTTGTTTTGAATGAACAATACATGCTGGCTTCGACCGATTCTGTAACAGATCCTGCAATTACGATATCGACCCCATTAACCAATCGCATTGTCAAGTGTCTGAGTCTTCACGGACCCCTGTACAGAACCTTTGGCGAGAATGTCATCCTACTTTTGAACCGGGAAACAGAAACTTCGCTTCAATTACTGATTTTAAAGTTATTGTATCTGCTGTTTACAACAAAAGCCACATACGAATACTTCTACACCAATGACTTGCGAGTTTTGCTGGATGTCATAATTCGGAATTTAATGGACCTTCCGGACGAGAAGATATCTTTGCGCCATACATACCTGCGCGTCATGTACCCGCTGTTGGCTCATACACAACTCAATCAGCCACCTCACTACAAAAGAGATGAGGTCCTCCGTGTCCTGAGAATACTTCGTGGGTCCCCGAACGCGCATTTTGCACCCGCAGATGAGACGACTCTACGATTGGTAGCTCGAGTGGCAAAGGTTCCATGGATCGAAGAGAAGGAAGAAGAGAAAGAAAGTCCGGGCCAAGCTGAAGTAGCCCGCAAATTCCTTGGAATCAGCCTGTCACCGTCGCAATACGCCAGTAGCATCAGTGTGGGTGATGTGGCGGGAGTAATGGAACGGCCTGGTGTCCAAACTCCAAGCCGAAAAGCATCGACGGCATCAGATACGCACGGCAAGACCGATAGGGAAGGCAATGCCGCAGAATTGTCTGTAAGGGCAAAGAAACCACTCCCCATCGTCCCGACACATCGACATGGCATCCCATTTACTCAGGCAGCCAAAGTTTGTGGAAGTGTGAACGGCGAAGGCAAGAAGATTCCTCCTAAAGCACCACCGCCCCGGCGTTGGGGTCGGAGGAAGAGTTTGACGGAGCAATCACCCATAGGGCCCATTAGCGAAGCTAACCCAGACTGAGGACCGCAAGGGTAACGGGGCATGTGAAAAATTCTTCGAGAATGCATTATTGCTTGGACTCAAGATATCATTCCGTGTTTATCGAAGTAGTTGGTGTTTACGACATGGCGCTGCTTGGCTCGGAGCACATCTGACTGTTCGTGCATGTGGCAAGCTGACAGGAGGGAATATTGGGTACGCCTACATAGGTATACGTCGAGGCGGCAAGTGTATTGGTTATCAAGATTTCTTAGCGTTTATGGCGTCACGGAGTTACGGGTGCGCGAGTAACATTCATCCAGCAATAGAAATCAAAATGTTGCAATCAATCGGCTTCTTGTGCCCGCACCAACTAATCTGTAGAGTACATATACAGATGGAACCTACAGTGGGCGGATGGCAAGCAGATGAATTCACACGAGTTTGATTATCTAAATTGAGTACTCGGGGGGTTGTGTACAAACGGATTGCAAGTTGTTCAGTTAAAAGAAAGCCCAAGAAATGATGAGCATCTGCTGGCCAACTAGGAACATGGAGGCCAACTTTTTAAAAAGCTTTAGTGAGGCACCGATGATTCCTTGCGAAGAAAAGCGCGGGCGCGTCATTTGGATGCCATACCATGTAGTTACTCCGTACAGAGATTGAGAAATGAGAAACGGGGAGTTGGAGTGTGAAACAGCCGGTACTCCATAGTGGCTGAGCTGCCGATGTAGGCACTCCATAATATGATCTATCCCATCAAGAGGAGTGAAACGTACTAGTACTTGACATATGCTTACATATCCTCACGCCCTGGTGACTTGGTCTGACTCGAGAAAACAAAGCTTGTTAGGAGCTTTTCGACGAGGATCGGACGTCTCGAAATGGATATCGGCTTTTTCACTTCTGCTATTTCCATGTCAACATATTTTTTGGGGGATGCTCTGAAACTCGTACGCAATCTGGACACTGAAGTAGCTACTAGTAGCTAGGGTAGGTAGGCACGTACCTACTGCGAGATCGTGCAGATGGTCTCAATTGACGCTATCGGGAGGCTTCAGCTTGGAAAGCTATGGTCTGACGTCATTTTCTGGGTCCCCCCGGTGTCTTTTCTTGGCGACGAGGGAGTTGTCTCCACCACCACTATCGTCACCACAAGTGGCACCAGTGGCTAAAGGCCTGCCTGCATTGTATTGTAAGACAGCACGAACATGATTTTCCACCACCACGTCTCCCAATAGCGGCCATTGACCGCACCATCTGGCCATAGCTGTTCTTGGCACGCTCCAATGATCCGTAGGTTTAGTGGCAATATGCGCCTGAATATTTGTCATTAGAGTATGGAGCATCTAGACGCAAGTTTATTAGTCCTTGGCCTGACATGAGGCGTCGCAGATGTAATCAGTAATCATCAAGCGGTGATGGGCAAGAAAGCTGACTTGCCCAGACTGTTTGCAGGCGAATTAGGTGTCAACTACACTGCCTAGCCAAGGTCTTTTTCTATATTGCTGCTGTAGTCCTTTTGCTAATTTTTTTTTTTTTTTTAAATAAAAAA